ATTTGCTTACTGTTGAATTACCTGTATTGTTTAAATGTTTTATTCACTTGCATTTATGCCTATCAGTCCCTGTTTCAGGTTGACTAATTGGAGATGCTTGAGCAAAAAGACGAGTGGTAGTTGAGGATGCGTGCTTCTCGGTGCACTAAGGGACTGAGCAAATAAAGCAGACCACATGGTTCCTCTTTTATCCAATTTTTTTTCAGATTTTTCTGTACTTTATATAAGTAAAAATTATTTTAAAGCTTTTATTTATTGGGGCCGTCGCTGCAGCATAGTGGGTAAAGCTGCCGCCTATAGTACCAGCATCCTATATAGGTGCCAGTTCAATTCCTGGCTGCTCTACTTCCAATCCATCTCTCAGCTATGACCTGGGAAAGCCATAGAAGATGGCCCAAGTCCTTGGGCCCCTGCACCTTCATAGGAGACCCAGAAGAAGCTCCTGGCTCCTGGCTCCTGGCTTCAGATCGGTACATCTCCGGCCATTGTGGCCAACTGGGGAGTGAACCAGCAGATGTAAGACCCCCCCCCCTCTCTCTCTGACTCTGCTTCTCTCTCTGTGTAACTATGACTTTCAATGAGTTACCAAGAGAGAATCTTCCATCCACTGGTTCAGTCCCCACATAGCTGCAATGGCCAGATCTGAGCCAGGAGGAAGCTAGGAGCTTCATCTGGACCTCCCATATAGGTGGCGGGGACCTGAGCACTTGGGCCATTAGCAGGGAGCTGAATTGGACGTAGAACAGCCAGGACATGAACCAGTGCCCATGGGCTATGGGTGTGGCAGGTGCCAGCAGCAGTTTTACCTGCTATGCCACAGTGCTGGTCCCAAGGAAATATTTTTAAATTGTAGATAAGTTTTACCAGAGCATCTTTTCTGTATAGCCATGTTGCATTTTCCTTTTTGGAAAATAGGTTACATTTGAGTGAGCTTTTGTTATCTTATTCTTTCTCAAGGTAGATGCTTTCCCATATGTGAAGAGTATCTGAACCTCAAGTATTAATTTCTTCTCCTCAAATATGATTTTTAAAGGTTTATTTATTTACTTAAGAGGTAGAGTCACAGACAGAGGGAGGGAAAGACAGGTCTTCCATCTACTGGTTTACTCACCAGTTGGCCACAGTGGCTGGAACTGAGCTGATCCGAAGCCAGGAGCCAAGAGCTCCTTCTGGGTCTCCCATGCAGGTGCAGGAGCCTGAGCACTTGAACCATCTTCCACTGCTTCCCAGGCCACAGCAAAGAGCTGGATCAGAAGAGGAGCAGCTGGGACATTAACTGGCACCCATATGGGATGCAGGCACTGCAAGCAGAGGCTTAGCCTACTATGCCACAGCACCAGCCCACAAATATGATGCTTCAATTCAATTGCAATTGCCATTTGCATATTTTTTACTTTCATTTTTAGTAAGTGATTAATGCACAAAAACCTGTATTATCTAACATAGGCAATGTGATGAGTTTGGAGATAAGTATGCCCATATGGAGCCATTCCCACCGTCTATGTCATAAATTTCTCCATCACCTCAGAAAGCTTCCTCCCACTCTGTTATTTTGTGTGGTAACATACACTGTAATACTCATCCTGTTACCGAAGTTTCAAATATTCACTAAATATGATTAAATATAGGTGCTGCACTGTGCAGTAGATCTCTAGGACTTACTCATCTTGAATAATAAATATTGCATGCCCTTTGGTACTTTCCATTTCCCTTCCCCCACCCCCTACCAGCCCCTGGCAGCCACCATCCCACTCTCTGCTTCTGTTAGTTTTGCTGTCTTAGATTCATCTTATAAGTGGTATCATGAAGTGTTATGTTTTTCTGTTTCCAGCTTGTTTCACTTAGTATGTTTCCAAGTCTGTTTTAATTCAGATGGAATGACGTCATCTGTTTTTAAAGACTGAATAATATTCCTTTCTAGGCATACACCATAGTTTCTTTATTATCAGTAGGTAGAAACTGTTTGGATTGTATCCATATCTTGGCTTTTCTGAATAATGCTGCAATTACAATGGAATCCTTGATGCCTCTTCAGGATCCTGTTTTCAGTTTTTTATTTTGTTTTTTGAAAGCGGAGTTAGAGAGAGAGAGAGCGCGTGCACGCGCATGCGTCTATCCTGTGGTTCACTCCCAGATAACTGCATATATGCCTTTTACATATTTTCTATTCCTGCATAATATATATTGCATCAATAATATATGTGGATATGTATTATGTATACATATTGCATATACAAGGATGCTTTTAAAAGACCATGGAGATGTTTTCTTTTAGGATCTATTGTGGGGCCAGTGCTGTGGCACAGCAGGTTAAAGCCCAGGCCTGAAGCGCCGGCATCCCTTATGGGCGCCAGTTCTAATACTGGCTGCTCCTCTTCTGATCCAGCTCTCTGCTATGTCCTGGGAAAGCAGTAAAGGATGGCCCAAGTCCTTGGGCCCCTGCACCCGTGTGGGAGACCTGGAAGAAATTCCTGGCTCCTGACTTCGGATCGGCTCAGTTCCAGCCCTTGTAGCCATCTGGGGAGTGAACCAGCAGATGGAAGGCCTCTCTCTATCTCTGTACCTCTCTCTGTAACTCTGCTTTTCAAATAAATACAATAGATGTTTTTATGGAGAGACAGAGGAAGAGACACAGAGAAAACTTTGATCCACTGGTTCACTCCCCGAGATGACCGCAACAGCCAGACTGGGCCAAGCTGAAGCCAGGAGCTTCTTCCAGGTCTCCCACGTGGCTAGAGGGGCCCAAGCACTTGGACCATCCTCTGCTGCTTTCCCAGGCTCATTAGCAGGAAGCTGGATCAGAAGTAGAGCACCTCTGACTGGAACCAGCCCCAGCTTTATCTGCTAAGCCACAGCACCAGCCCCTTGTTTTCAGTTCTTATGGATACATCCTCGGAAGTGGAATTGATGGGTCATCCGGTGGTTCTGTTTTTTATTTTTTGAAGAAGCTTTTTATTATTTTCCACAAAGACTGCAGCAGTATATAGTCCCCACCACAATGTACAATGATTCAGTTTTCTCCATAGCCTCACAATCATTTGTTAATTTTATTGATTGATTGATTTGGGCTCTTAACTATTCAAACAGATGTGAGATACCTCACTGTGATTTTGGTTTGCATTTCCCTAACTATTAGTGATGTTGACCACTTTCTCATAAACTGGTTGACCATGTGTATGTTATCTTTGGAGAAATATCTATTTAGTCACTTTGCCTATATATGTATTTATTTATACTGAGTTGTAAGGATTCCCTATATATTTATCAAATATATCACCTGATTAATTCTTACTCTTGATTTGTTGGTGAACATGGCTTAGAAACCCGTCAGTTGACCATCTTAAATAGGAAGCTATTGGGCTAAGGGGCTCCAAAACCCTTTGTGCTAGATGGTTACTCACACATCTCTTTACTTGCTTATGAATTTTGAAGAATCCTATTATGATACAGCAGTAAACTGAAAGCAGGCATTTACAGAAACTGGCTTCTTTTTAATTTATTTTTTAAGGAATACAAATTTCTTAAGTACAACTTTAGGAATATAGTTATTATTCCCACCATTCTTGCCCTCCCACCCACACTCCCACTCCTCTTCCTCCTCCCTCTCCCCTTGCCAGTCCCATTCTCCATTTAGATTCATTTTCAATTAACTTTGTACACAGAAGACCAACTGTATACTAAGTAAAGATTTCAACAATTTGCATACACACATATGCAAAACTGTTTGAGAACTAGTTTTACAGTTAACTCTCACAATACCACTCATTGAGGACAGAGGTCCTGCATGAAGAATTAGTACACAGTGACTCCTGTTGTTAATTTAACAATTAACACTCTCATGTATGACGTCAGTGACCACCTGAGGCTCTTGACATGAGCTGCCTAGGCTATATGGAAGCCTTTTGAAACCACAAATTATGTCAGTATTTAGACAAGGCCATAAGTGAAGTGGAAATTCTCTCCTCTCTTTAAAAAAAGTACATGCTTCTTTGATGGCCACTTCTTTCCACTGGGGTCTCACTCACAGAGATCCTTTGTATAGAACATTTTTTGCCACAGTGTCTTGGCTTTCCATGCCTGAAATGCTCTCACAGCCTTTTCAGCCAGACCAGGAAGCCTTAAGGGCTGATTCTGAGGTCAGAGTGTTACTTAAAATGATTGTCATTCTGTGTGTCTGCTGTGTGGACTGCTTCCTATGTTGGAACATTCTCTCCTTTTTAATTCCATCTGTTATTATTACCCAGAAACTATCTTTTAATTACTTTTTTATTTACTATGAAGAACACTGATGTTTTTAGATGTTAAATATTTAGTAAAAGATATACAAAAATACAAATGAAATGGCTTTTCTGTTATCTGAAAAAAAAATTCTAAAGTTAGTATTGGGCCTTAGGTGGAGAAATAAGGAAAGGAAGTGTTTTAAACTGTGTCGAGAAAGCTGTACTGGTCCCTGGAGGGAGGAAGAATCCTGATACCCTTGCTTTCTTTGTAGTAATGACATCAGTACCTCATCTTGACAGTGTTGTGTGAAATTTCATAAAGAGTTACATGGCATGTTGTATTAACATGATTGCAAGTTCTAGAAATAATTCCTAGAAATTCTTAGCATCTACACAATGAACCATAACTACTTTTTATTGAAAGGTCAGTTTAAATGTAGCTTTTAATTATTTAGTGGTTCTCATTCATCATTCAGCTAGTCATGAGTATTATCTCCTGTGTGCATGGTTCTCTGCTAAAAGCACGGATATGATGCTGAGTAAAACACATGTAGATCCTGACTCATGTAATATTTACAGCCTAGGGAGGGAGGTAGATATTGATGAAATAATCTCAGAAATAAGTTGCAGTTTGAATAAGTTGTTAGTCGATGTCTTAGTTGGGGAAGCATTGCATGTGTCTTAGGTTACCAGAAGTAAACCCTGTGTTGAGTGCTAGTAGGTGAGATGTCAAAGCTTTTATGGACATCACCATTAACTCTTCCTTTTGGTGTTTGGCAGGTACATTATTCCATCTTTACAGAAGCTGGATGCTGGATTTTACCGTTGTGTGGTGCGAAACAGAATGGGAGCACTCCTGCAAAAGAAATCAGAAGTTCAAGTGGCATGTATGTATGTTGTAAGGGGGCTCTCCCAAAGCAAAGAACAGAAACAGAGTGTCTGCAGGAAGCAATCAGAATCAATCCCAACCATTGTAGGAACTAAGGCTTTATCTTTGGTTCTGTTTAGAATAGAATAATTGCTGAAGTAGGTAAGAAAAAAGTGAACCTTTGTTATGGCTGATCAGTTGAAAAGATTAAGGACCATGCAGGGCACCAAGGAGGATAAAAATGTTAATAATATGCCTTCCTTTGTATGAATGAGCTGTTCTCCCCATCTCTTACATTCAAAATATTTTTAAGATAAATAGTTATACCAGTTTAGGTCAAATGTCATCCATTCACAGTCAGTTTTTTTACAATGATGATTTGTTTAGAAATCCTTTTCCTGAGCTACAAAAAGCACATGGATAGTCAATTGCCTAGATGGTATTAGTACTACAAGGATTGATTGCTTCCTCATTGAGCACATCCATTTTGGAGAATGAAATCTGTTAAAGTAAGTGAAGTGATGTCAGAATGCAGCGTACTTGAGTTTTATCGTCATCTTTAAGAGGGGAACACAAAAGAGGCCTATGCAAAGTATTTAGTACTTTTTTTTCTTTTTTTAAGATTTATTTATTTATTTGAAAGGCAGAGTTACAGATGGACAAAGAGAGACAAACAGATCTTCCCTCTTCTGGTTTACTCTCCAAATGGCTGCAACAGCCAAGACTGAGCCAAGTGGAAGCCAGGAGCTAAGAGCTTCTTCCCGGTCTCCCTGGTGGGTGCAGGGGCCTGAGCACTTGGGCCGTGTTCCGCTGCTTTTCCAGGCACATTAGCAGGGACCTGAATCAGAAATGGAGTGGCAAAGACTTGAACCAATGCCCATATGGGATGCTGGTGGTGCGGTTGAAGCTTTAATCCGCTGAGCCACTGTGCCGGTCCTCTTTTTGTCTAATCCAAAATCTATGAAGGGTAGATTGAGTTTAAAGGGACTGTCTGCCTTACTATATTTCAGAAGTACTACCAAAATATCTCTCTTTAAAAGTAAGCATAATATCCTATGAAATTTAAAATTATAATTTAATATGTTGGTATAGACTCTGGAGAACAGTGGAGTGTTACTAGGTTGGGCTGTGCTACATTTATTTGTGTTTTTGATCCCAGTTAAGTCCTGCATCTTTTAGTGTTCATATATAAAATAAAATAATACCTAACTAATCTACCGTAGTCCTAATGACTGAATGAGGTGCTGATGCTATACATGTTTAATTACTTTTTTAATTGCTAGAAAGGCTTAAATTCTCTGAATTGTATTGAACTCTCTCAGCTAAATGTGTCTGCAGAATAATTTATAACTTTTATTCAATTAGATAATTGAAATCATAACTAATAAACTGTGTGCAGCAAAATACCCAAATCATATTTGAATTAAGTTATGAGCTTGAAGCTTAATACATGAAATTCTTTTTAAAAAATTGTTTTGGACTTTCTCTGGCTTAATTATTTATATCTTTCTAGCCTTTATTTTTAGCTCTTAGTTTTTTTGTGTCTTCTTTTCTACCTTAACTTTGAAAGCACTAATCATGGAGAGACAGGCTTTATGGACCAGCAGATTAAGCTGCCACCTGGGATGGCTGTATCCTGTATTGGAGGCCTGATTCCAGTTCTGGCTACTCTGCTTCCAAGTCAGCTTCCTGCTAACATACAACCTGGGAGGCAGTGGGTGATGGCTGAAGTGCTTAAATTCTTGCCATGCCCATGAGGGACCAAGTGAAGTTCCAGATTCCTGGCTTCGGCCTGGTCCAGTCCTGACTGTTGAGGGCAATTTGGAAGTGAACCAGCAGATGGAAGATTCTCTCTCTCTCTCTCTCTCTCTCTATCTATCTCTATCTCTATCTCTATCTCTATCTCTATCTCTCTCTCTGCCTGCCTTTTAAGTAAACAAAAATAAATGAATAAAATAACCATGACTATTTTTCTAATCTAAGACTCATGGTAAGAGAGAGATAGCCACTGCTTCACTTCCCAAGTGGCTACAACAGCCAGGACTGAGAAAGACTGGAGCCAGAGCCAGGAACCGGGAGCTAAGAGCTCCAGGTCTCCCATGTGGCTGGCAGAGCCCCAAGCTCTTGGGCCTTCTTCTGCTTTTCCCAGGCCATTAGCAGGGAACTGAATTGGAAGAAAAGCAGCCAGGACACAAACCAGCGCCTGTAGGGGATGCTGGCATCGCAGGAGGCAGCTTTACCTGGGACGCCACAACACCAGCCACTTTTCCCTTAGTCCTTGCACACTCATGGATAAAATAATTTCTTGTGAATCATTGATAATGAACTCTACAATGGAATATTTCAAACTTACTTGCATTAGGTAGAATTATATTAGTTTTGCTGTGTCTGTGTGTGCATATTTATCTGTATCTGATTATAATATGGATTGTTGTAAAATTTCAGATGTCACTAATTTAAAAGTTAGCCATTTAGGAGCAGGCATTGTGGTGCAGTGGGCTAAGCCTTGCTTGAGTTGCCCATGTCCCATATTAAAGGTCCTGGTCTGAGCCCTGGCTGCCCCTCACTTCTGATCCAGCTCCCTGCTAATGCACCTATGAGGCCGCAGTGGTGGCCCAAGTTAACTGTCCCTGCTGCTCATGTGGGAGACCTGGATGGAGTTCCTGGCTCTGGTTTTTTTTTTTTTTTTTAAAGATTTATCTATTTATTTGAAAGTCAGAGTTACACAAAGAGAGGAGAAGCAGAGAGAGAGTGAGAGAGAGAGCGAGAGAGAGGTCTTCCATCCAATGGTTCACTCCCCAACTGGCCGCAATGGCCAGAGCTACGCCAATCCAAAACTAGGTGGCTCCTGGTTTTAGCCTGTCCCAACCCTGGCTTTTGTAGGCATTTGGGGAGTGAAACAGCAGAAGGAAGACACCTCTCACGCTCTTGGTTTCTCACAATCTGCCTTCCAAGTAAATAAATGGATCTTTTAAAAAAATCTTTTTATGCCTGCATTCTGCTGGCTGTTTCTTTTGAAACATTTAGAAATCATTCATCACTTTCTTTCTCTCTGTTACATTCCTTCCTCCCTTCCTCTCTTCCTCCCTTCCTCCCTCCTTCCAGTTCTTCCAGTTCTTCCAGTTCTTCCTTCCTTCCTTGAGGTCTTCCTTCTCCTATTCACTCTCCAAGTGAACCCAACAACCAGGGCCAGGCCAAAACCAGGAGGCTGGAACCTCATCCAGTTATTTCACTTGAGTGACAGGAATTCAAGTATTTGAGCCATCATCTGCTGCCTCTTAAGCATATTAGCAGGAATCTGGTTTGGAAGCAGAAGTGAGTCCCAACCCCTGGCACTCTCATATGGGATGCAGGTGTCCCAAGCGAGGTCTGCCCTTCAAAAAGTTTTTTTTAAGCTTCTTTTTTTTTCATTTAACGTTTATTTATTTATTTGAAAGGCAGAGTAACAGGGAGAGAGGGAGAAGCAGACAGATACCTTCAGTCAGCTAGTTCCTCCCCAGCTGGTCACAACAACCAGGTCTGGTCCAGGCTGGAGCCAGGAACTCCATCCTGGTTTCCTACATGGGCAGCAAAGTCCCAGGTTCTTGGACTGTCTTCTGCTGACTTCCAGGTGCATTAGCAGGAAGCAGGGTTCAACCGTAGCAGCTGGGACCTGAACTGACATTCTAATATGGGATGCCAGCATTGTGTGTGGCAGCTTAACCCAGTGGTTAATACCAGCCCCTTAAAATATTTTTAGTCAGTGGAACAAACATCGGAACAAAATGACTGCCCCAAATGAGGTCAACAGTCTGAGTGTGTAAGAACCTACTAAAAACGTGCAGAGGTTAGAAAATATTGCTTCTTGGAAGATCTTTTAGGGAGATGATGACTTTAGAAACTAAGAGGAGAAACTGAGCAGATGAAGGGACTGTTTGGGGCAGACCTGGCCTGAGAGGCTTGGTGGCTGCAGAGGGCTGAGACGGCTTTAGTACTGCTTCCATGGAAAGCTGTAGGATGCTTTTCAGCAGTTTATTTCAGTGTTAGAATCAGTGTATTCCAGTGCACTGCTGTAGTAAGACAAGGGACTCCTGGTTCTAATGAACAGTGTGCCTCTCTGGCAATGGAGGCAGTGGTTCCCACAGACCCAGATCTGTGCTCCTCAGAGCTACCACCAGCCTTGCTTGTCTTATTAAGTGCAGCAAGGTCATGGCTTTAAAGTCTAGTTGTTTAATCACTGATAGCCCCCCCGCCCATAAGAGACTTTTCCAGAACTTAATAGGTCTGTTTTTTCTCTGCAGATATGGACAGTTTCGTGGATACAGACCAGAGGAAGACAGTTCCTCAAGGGCATGCAGCAGTCCTGAACTTGATGCCCATCACCAGCTACCCCAGACCTCAAGTGACTTGGTTCAGAGAAGGGCACAAGATAATTCCAAGCAACAGAATGTAAGTTGCTGAAACATTCCAGTTTCTGATGCCATTCATTACACTTGCTGACACCATCTGCCCGGTAAGGGTACCAGTTAAGGTTACCAAGGATTTGGAAGGGGGTAGCCTCGTCTGGCACTTCTGTGTCAGTCTTTAACCAGCATCTGTGCTGAGGTTGCCTTGGGTATGTTAAGGCGGTTTAAGCAAAGAGCGATGTGCTGTTCTCCTCCAGAGTGCTCCACACCCTGCAAGTAGAGCACACTCCTCTATGTAGTCCACTTGGCCTCTTCCTGCATGCACTTTCAGATGTCCTTCTCACCCCTTGGTTGTGTTCAGCTCCAAATACTACTTGGTGACTGCTGATATTTACTGAAGTGCTGTGGGAATGTCCTCCTTTCAGTGAACTGTGTTTGATAATACTTTCTCCGACAAAAATGCAGTAATTGCTGCTTATTTCTCTTTTTCCTTTTATCCTGCCATGACAGTTTTATTTCCTTTGGTCTAATTAGTGGCTCACCCATCTATGGCGGAATGGTTGCCTGTGATTAGTCGGGTATTATTTCAAGGTGTTCTTGCCTATCCCACATTCAAGATACTTATCCAATGCCAGACCTGTTTTCTTCATTTGGAATTTTAAATAATTAAAAAGGACGGTTGGTGTGTATTTGAGTACTGGGCACCTGACAATCTAACTTAAAGATAATATTCCAAATATAAAGTTTAAGGATGAGTATTTTCCAAAGAATCATGAAATGCTGTATGCTTAGGCTAGAAGTCAAATATTTATGCTGCCAGGTGGTTGCATTGAGATAAATATTCATGAAGGGGAAAGCCTTTTGTTTCATTTTTTCCAAAAAGGATATGTGTGAGACAATTTGCTGAATAGATTTGAACTGAAATTATGAATGTAACTGGGGGACATAAATTTGTGGTCTCTGTCCTCCCTGCACATCCACAGAAACCTTCTCTTAGCCTGATGTCTTCATTCCTCCACCTTGGCCTCTCAGCCTTTGAGCCTTGACTTTTCTTAAGCTTAGTTTGTAGTGTTTCAGTTTTGGTCATTGGAAACCAGAAAAAGGGAAAGTTGTCTAAGAGCCATATTTTAAAATCCTAGTGAAAATACCAGTTACTTTGGAAGATGGGATAACTGCTATGCCTTTTCCCCTTATTTTATTAAAAGTTGCTTGGGTAGCCACCTTTATATTGATTCCAGTTGTAACAGACGCCCCACGAGTTTGAGTGAAGCAATGATGAAAGATCAATTTCTCATTATCTTAGTAGACTGTTAAGCTGGGAAAAGGCAGCTGTGGGAATTCTTGCATGTATGTTATGCAACGTTTGGGTGTTGAGCACAGAATGGCCCAGCGCAGTCCCAGAGATGGGGAGCCTTCCTCGCCAACAAGTGCTTTTCATGGGTGTCACGGTAGCTAGTAAGTATGTATTAATTCAGTTTTTAACTTGTGGTCTATCTATGCTCCTGAGACAACTTTTATTCAACAAATGAGAAAGGATATAGAATGAAATGACTGTTAATTACAGAAGCATATTTATAAAAACTTAAAAAAATTCAAGGTAAGGACTTACGGTGAGCTAATGAAGTAAAGATGTCAGCGAGACTTGAACTTTGTGCCCTGTCAAATAAATGGTCTGTGATGCTGTTGATGAGTCTCTAATCTCAGTAAAATAGTGTGGTGGTGTTGCTTTCTTTTTAAAGAGATGACATGATGCTGGTTGTAGATACTTATATTTTTGCAAGGTCCTTTACTTTGATATTTTCCACCTCATCATCACCCCACATGTATAAAGTACTTGCTGTGCAGGATACCATACATAAACCAGTAGGTGTGTGGCTTTCTCCACAAGTTTATACGTCACTCGACGGCACGCTGCTTTCCACTTGTGAGACAGTGCAGCTTGTTTCTGGAGATGGAAGGGCCTCTGCAAGCTTGAGCACACATGGTGTCCAGGTGCAAGTCAGACGCCATTCAGTCTCTCGGCACCACCAGGAGTGCCGTCTGAAAACTGGCACATTTGGCCTGGAAAGCTTTGCTTGTGTTGAAGCACAGGTCAACCTTCTGCGCCTGCTCTAACCTCTCTCTGTGAGGGCAGTTCCTTTACACAGCTGGAGATGCATCTCATCCCCACCCCTTGTTTGTCCCCCAACTCTTAGCGTTATATCGTGACTTTAAAATGTGAGGGTAGGCTTACTAGTAAGTGATTTCCCCCCCATTTTCAAGGGAACCAGTAGGTCTCGTGCTTCCCAACTTGAAAAATAGTGCAACAGCCTATTAATAATATCAACAGCAGCTATTATGTATTGAATACCGCTTTAACCATGTCTTCTGCAATTCTCACAACTGCCTTCAGAGGCAGGTATGATTAGCTGTACTTGCAGCTACCAGAACTGAAGATTGGCCATGTTGACTAGAGGTCCAAGGGCACACTGCTTATCAAGGACAGAGCTCAGCTCCAAACCCGGGTCTGGGTGACTCCGAATCTCATGCTTGTGTCTGTATCAGGCTAAGTCTTCTTTTCACTGTCTTTACTTAACCTTTTCTTGCTTTTGATTTTTTTCTCCACAAGTTACTGCAGTCTTTTTTCTCCTTTTATTGAAAACCACCTTTCAATTTGAACTAATAATGATTAGCCTATGTTTTCATAGAAATGGAAAGAAGTGTCAGATACTGATATTTTGAAAGAATCAGTAGGATTTAGATTAGATGAGGGGTATGAGAAAACGAGAGAAGCCATGAATAGCTTTAAGATTTGGGGCCTGACGAATGATGACATGGGGTTACCTTTTCTGGAAATGGGACTGTTCTGGGAGAATGGTGTGTGTGTGGCATGGGGAGTGGGGTCTGTGACTTATTTTGGACATACTAAGTTTGAGATGCATGTTAGCTTGCCAAGAAGAGTTAATGACTAGATGGTTATATATATCTCAGACTCAGGATCACCAAGGAGATCTAGGTGAAACTTGAAAGTTATTGGTTTGTTAATGATGTTTAAAGATCCCTACAAAGGTACAAAATATTTAAGCCAGTAGGCCAAGCCTAACACATCAGTTAAGATGGCTTTGCTTGCAAGCCACAAAGGTTGACTTTGATTGTCTGAGAGAGAGAGAGAGAGAGAAATTGATTGGACTATACAGAGAATTACAGCACTCAAACAGTAGAAGGAATTCAACAGAAACCAGTGCTGCTCATGAGGCCTAAGGGTCAGGGAGCAAATCAGCCCTGGAATAGCCCCCCGAAGACATCCAGGCCCTGCTTCCTGGAAGCTGTGAACTTATTAGTTACTTGGCAGAAGAGAATTGAGGTTGCAGAAGCAAGAAGGAAGTAACACGGGTGGGAATAGGGGACAGAGGAACAAGACTGTCTCAGGGTGGTGCAGTGAAGATGTACTGTGTGAGACGCTGTGACTGGCACACGCCCCACCCCGGCACCCTTTCAGCCTCCAGGCTTTCAGCATCTAGCAGTGGGAGTCGTGTCCCAGGATGTGACCCATGTATTCCAGGGGATGGAGGCCTGACTCCCCCCTGTGCCCTCTGGCACAGAGACTGGGCATCCTTCTTTTATATAAGTAGCAGGGATGGGTCACTGAGTTTGATTTTTTTGTAAAGGTTTATTTGTTTATTTGGAAGTCAGAGTTACAGCGAGAAGGAGAGACAGAGAAAGGTGTCTTCGATTCCCTGGGTCACTCCCCAAATGGCCACAATGGCCAGAGCTGGTCCGATCCAAAGCCAGGACAGGAGCTTCTTCTGGGTCTCCCACATGGGTACAGGGGTTCAAGGACTTGGGCCGTCTTCCGCTGCTTTCCCAGGCCACAGCAGAGAGCTGGACTGGAAGAGGAGCAGCCGGGACTCAAACTTGAGCACATATGGGATGCCGGCGCTGCAGGTAGCAGCTCTGCCAGCTATGCCACAGCACTGGCTCCTGGATTTGTTTTGATCACCACTTAGCACACACTCTTTAGAATGCTTTGAATTTAAAAAAAAGTATTTTCCTTATGACCTTATGAGGTCAGTCAAAACTCTGAAATAAGAGGTAATAAAAGCTTTTATTTAATATCCTGCTTCTTTGTTGAATTGACTGTTCCCAGTTTTAGGTCCTGTCTACCCCAGGACTTTTACTTTTCTACTCCTTACCTATACATCATTGCTTCATGACTGTGCCTGGCCTGGTAGTGTGCGTTACAGGTGTGCAGTACTGGAGTGACTGGCTGCATGAATGAAAGTGAAGGAATATCAGAGACCTGTAAACTTGCTTGCATAAGGGAAGAATGAGAACAAACTTCAAGAAAAATACTGTTGAAGTAGAAAAAAATCTTGAATGGGCTGATTTTTTTTAAGATGCATTTATTTTACTTGAAAGTCACAGTTAGAGAGAGAAGGAGAGGCAGAGAGAGAAGGAGGGAGGGAGGGAAAGAGGTCTTCCATCTGCTGGTTCCCTCCCCAATTGGCTGCAATGACTGGAGCTGTGCTCATCTGAAGCCAGGAGCCAGGAGCTTCTTCCAGGTCTCCCACATGGGTACAGGGGCCCAAGGACCTGGGTCATCTTCTACTGCTTTCCCAGGCCATAGCAGAGAGCTAGATAGGAAGTAGAGCACCCGGGACTTGAACCAGCGCCCATATGGGATGCCGGCACTGCAGGCAGTGGCTTTACCCACTACACCACAGTGCCTGCCCCAGGGCAGATTATTTTGTAAAAATTGAGAATAAGTTATATGTAGAATTTTGCATAGGTAATTGTAGGTTTTATTTATCTGAAATGAAAGAAATGCATGTTTATTCCCCTAACTTACTAAATCCAAGCAGTTAACTTGCTATCTTTACAATTCAATGATGAGGATAGTTTTGTCTTTTTTTTTTTTTTTTTTTTTTTTTTTTTTTTTTTTTTTGACAGGCAGTAGGAAGTGAGAGACAGAGAGAAAGGTCTTCCTTTTTCCATTGGTTCACCCCACCCCCCAATGGCCGCTGCAGGCCGACGCACTGCGCTGACCCGAAGCCAGGAGCCAGG